AGCCGGAGCTGCAGGAGGGCAGGGAATCAGAGGACGCAGTTTCCCCTCTGCGGCACAGAGCAAACACCTTCATCCAGCCACGGCACCAATGCTCGGCGCTGCACCCAGCCAAGCATTGCACCAAACCTCCCTGGCAGGGCTGGGAAATGCCTTCCCAGACCCTGACCACCGCCCCAAGGCCAGGTCCAGCTTCAAACCACCCAGGGCCAAGCTGGCTGGGCCACCGGGGCAGAAAGGCTGCTGCCAGCCTCCACCCTGGCCCCCCTGCTCTGGCAGCACCCTGGCTGCCCAGGGAGGTAGTCCGAGCACCAAGCCTAGCACGCTGCGGGCAGAGCAGGGGCTGAAATCAGGAAGGAGCCCAGCTACATTAAACACAAGGCAAGTGCTGTGCTGTGACCTTACACCAGAGCACGCTCCAGGCAGGGAGAACATCATGTGCAAGGCAGAGTCCAGGCAGGACACCTTCAGCCAGAGCTGAAAACATCTTCCTAAACTGGGCCATGTTCTCCCTGAAAGGGAGAAATCCCCCTGGGACCCAGTGAGTGGCCCTGCCGCAAGGGACAGACCAGCCCCATACCCCAAAGGGGTGAGGATGGGGAGGCCCAACCCCCTCGGCCACCCCTTCTCCCCATCTCTGGGCGATGCTGCTGCGGTCGGCAAGCTGCAAGGGGGGGTCTTGACAAAGGAGAGCAGCACAGGCTGCCCCCCTGCCTGGCGTGCCTCCACGGCGGGTGGCTCAGTCCCAAGCCCGGATCCGGCACGGATGAGGAGTCGCCGCATCTCCCATCCCCAGCTCCACCATGCATGCCACCCCCGCAGGCTCCGGCTTCTTGGGACACGCAGTCCCCCCTGACCCCCCCAAGGAATCAAAGCATCCTACCTGCCACCCTGTGGGCCACCAGGCCCTCCAGATTCAACGGCTCTTCTGCTGACCTTGACAGGTCTTCGTAGCTCTCCGGTCCTTTGGGGAGCATCTGGGTTTGTGGTGGGACGGTGGGGGAAGGCGGGGAGGACACAAGGAGCTGCTGAGACCCGACCGGGCTGTAGGAGGTGCTGAGCGGGAGGATGCCCATCGGTGCTCCGGCTGGGGCATGGCTGTAGCTCCTTGGCTCCGGCACTGGTGCCGGCTGGTAGCTGTAGGGCAAATAGGTTTCCCGATACTCGTGCACCCCATAGTCCAGCTCCCCAGGAGAATAGGCTTTACCCCCGGGCTCGGAGACCACGGGGCTCACGGAGGTGCCGAAGGACCTTGGCTGGACCACTTGTGGAGCCGGCCGGGTGTAGAGACCGGCAATGGGCTGGGCCGAGAGGGAGGAGAGCAAGGGTCCTGCTGGCTTGTCCTGGCGGAAGGCAGCAGGGACGCTCTGTGATTTGTGCACGGCAGGCGCAAGGTCCAGCATGAGGACGTCGAGCGCTTCAATGGACTGCTCAATCTCCCGGCGGGAGGGCGCCCGGGGGAATTCAGGCATGCTGTGGCTGTGCGGGGGCACCGGCTGCAGCGGACTGGGCTGGGGGCTGCAGCTGGAGACGCTGGGGCTGTGGCTCTCCACGCCGCCCTCCTGCAGCCGGGAAGGCGGCCGGCTCCCTCCTTGCTGCTGCCAGGAAATCAAACCCCTCTG